TTATCTCAGTACAGACCATCTGATATTTAGAAGTAGGTAAGTGAGCATGGTATCCCTGGCACAACACTAGTTTCTTATTTTACCCGTGTTCCATTAATTTCTTTCCTCACACACAGGTATGAGATTATTTTATTTATTTTTTTAAGATTTATTTATTTATCCATACATACAAGAACCGGGGTACAGGCCAGATGTGTGGGAGGGTGAGAGGATTGACCAGAGACAGAGCAGGGAACAGAACAGGCAGACTGACGAAATATACTGTTAAGGGAGCAGCAGGTACAACAGAAGAGGTCTGCCTTGCCATGTGGAACCCTCGCCAGCTGGCTGGGATTGAACTGGCGCTGCAGAGGCCGCCGACAGCGTTACAACGCTGCTCTCAACCACCTGTGCCACCAGGGGAGGCCCTATGAGATTATTTTAGAGAGCATGTGACTATGATGTTTTCAAGACCCATTATATTCACTTATTTTGCATGTTCAAACTTCAAAATTAACTTGATCCTAACCGTGTTTGGAAGCTTGAGGTTTTTCTGCACTCTATTTCAGAAAGTATATATTTTATACACCCATAGTGATACATGAGCTTGCAGATGTCAAAGTATTTTATCACATTTTCCACAGCACATTATTTACATGGGACTTCAGAGCTAGTCCCTGAAGAGAGGATAGTATATTTTTTTTTATTTTATGTTATATATATTTTACATCATTCTTCATTTTTGTACAATGTATACTTTTTCCTCTCAGGTGTAGTCCCCATAAAATTCCCACCACCAATTTACCCGTGTACCATCACAATTGTCCCCTGTGCTCTTCCCTCCCCTGTTTTGATCCTTCTCCCTCCTCCTCCCCTGCAGAATGTCTCTGATTTATAGTTGTCTGTTGATTTTGATTTTTAATTTATTATAATAATTTTTTTCCTGATCACTTACTTGGTTCCTCTACATTCCTCCTATAAGTGAAATCATCCTATATTTTTCTTTTTCTTTCTGTCTTACTTCACTGAGCATAATCCCTTCCATCTCCATCCATGTTGCTGTAAATGGCATAAGTTTATCTTTTTGATTGTTGAGTAATATTCCATTGTGTATATATACCACATTTTCTTCACCCAGTCATCTATTTTTGGGCATTTGGGTTGTTTCCATAGCTTACCTATTGTAAATAGTGCTGCAGTAAACATAGGGGTTCAGGTATCCTTTTTAATTAATGTTTTTTGTGTCCTTTGGGTAGATTCCTAAGAGTGAAATTGCCAGATCATATGGAAGCCCCATTTCTAGTAGTTTTCCACCCAGTTTTCCATAGTGGTTGGACCAGTTTTCATTCCCACCAGCGATATAGGAGAGTTCCTTTTTCTCTACATCCTTGCCAAATTTGTTGTTGCTAGTTTTTTTTTTAAAGATTTATTTTATTTATTTATGCATAAAATAGCTGGGGTGTAGGCCAGAGGTGTGCATGTGTTGGGGGGAGAGTGAGGGGCTTCACCAGAGACAGAGTGGACAGGCAGATTTACTGAAATACACTGCTGAAGGGAGCAGCGGGTGAGAAAGGTGAGGTCTGCTGCACTATGTGGGTTAGCTCCCTGACCAGGGATCAAGCTAATGCTCCAGTGGCTGTTTATAGCTTCACAGTGCTGAGACTTAACCCCTTGCACCACCAGGGAGGCCTGTTGCTAGTTTTTTTTTATTTTTATTTATTTATTTTTATCTTTATGTAAATTTTTTAATTTAAATTTTATTTTTATATTCCCCATACAATTACAACCCCCTTAATTTGACCCCAATCCCTCCTTTCCCTGCCCCCTCACCCCACATAGAGTGTCTCTGGTTCATAGTTATTTGTTGATTTTGTTATTTTCTTTCTTATAGTTATTCTTTTTCCTGGTCCATTATTTAAGTTTTCTGGATTCCTGCTATGAGTGAGACCATCCGGTATTTTTCTTTTTCTTTCTGGCTTATTTCGCTGGGCATGATCCCTTCCAGCGCCACCCATGTTGCTGCAAATTGCATGTGTTTATCTTTTTTGAATGCTAAGTAATATTCCATGGTGTGTATGTACCACATCTTCTTGATCCAGTCATCTATTTTTGGGCATTTGCGTTGTTTCCAAAGCTTAGCTGTTGTAAACAGTGCTGCTATAAACATAGGGGTGCAGGTGCTCTTTGGAATTGATGTTTCTGTGTCCTTTGGGTAAACACCTAGGAGTGGAATTGCTGAATCATATGGAAGCTCTATGTTTAGTCGGTCAAGAAATCTCCACACAGCTCTCCACAGTGGTTGGACCAGTTTGCACTCCCACCAACAGTGCAGGAGAGTTCCTTTATCTCCACAACCTCGCCAACATTTGTTGTTGCTAGTTTTTTTAATAGGTGCCATTCTCACTGGTGTCAGATGGTATCTCATTGTAGTTTTGATTTGTATTTCCCTGATTACAAGTGATGTTGAACATTTTTTCATATGCCTGTTGGCCATTTGTATTTCCTCTTCAGAGAAGTTTCTTTTTAGCTCTTCTGCCCATTTTTGGACTGGATTATTTTCTTTGTTGTTGTTGAGTCTCATCAGCTCTTTGTAGATTTTTGTGATCAGTCCTTTATCATTAATAATGTGTGCAAAAATGTTCTCCCAGTCGGTGTTTTTGTTTTTTGTTTTTTTTTTTTTTTTAATATGTGCCATTCTCACTGGTGTAAGGTGGTAGCTCATTGTGGTTTTGATTTTCATTTCCCTGATTACTAGTGATGTTGAACATTTTTTCATATGCCTATTGGCCATTTGCATCTTCTCCTCTTTGGAGAAATGTCTTTTTAGCTCTTCTGCCCATTTTTTGAGTGAGTTGTTTACTTTGTCTTTGTTGAGTCTCATCAGCTCTTTGTAGATCTTCTTGATCAGTCCCTTATCAGTTGTATGGAATGCAAAGATTTTCTCCCAATCAGAAGGGTGTCTCTTTGTTGTGGTTATTGTCTCTTTTGCTGTACAGAAGCATTTTAATTTGATGTAATCCCAGTTGTTTATCTTTTCCTTCACTTTTTTTGTGTCTTTAAAGATGTTCCTGAGATGTATATCATGTAGTGGTTTACCTTTACCTATATTTTCTTCTATGTATTTTATGATTTAAGGTCTTATCTCCCATTTTTAAATCCATTTTCAGTTGGTTTTTGTGCATGCTGTGAGGTAGTAGTCTAGCTTCATTCTTTTGCAAGTAGCAGTCCAGTTTTCCCAGCACCATTTATTGAACAAACTGTCATTATTCTACTGCATATTCTTTGCTCCTTTGTCAAAGATTAGTTGTCTTACAAGATTTATCCTTAGATTTCTACAATTATGCATGTAACATTGATGAGTCTTAAAATTACACAGCTGCCATGGAATTTGCTGGTATTGTGATAAAATAATATTAATACTAAAGTAATTTTTCATAATTTTTCCAGTTTATTTGGAGACAACATCAAGTTCTTATCAAAGGTACTCAGTGAAATACAAAGCAGCTAGTGAGGTAATATTCATGTGGGCCTAAACCACAGCACACATCTTGTGACTATCAGGCCTACAGGTAAGTGATGATACTGCCCCTGGCAAAGGTGTTGCCATATTTGTTTTCATGTAACCCTATCACATCTTTTGTAGTATACACTTAAGAAATGTGACATTGACTCATACAGTGCATTATATCTCTAACTACTGTTTTCAAGTGTCACATTTACCTTGCTTTTGGCTTGTTTATGGTAATTTGTCTTTGATAATACTAACAAGCATGAGTTTTTGCTATTTTCTTATGTAGAGATAATGTGTATTTCTACTCATTGTCATTGTGAAATTGTGAGTATTCAGGTAGTTTGTCATATTGTACTATTTATTCACCATGGGATATTTGTAGGTGTGCCTTCAAGGAAGGAAGGCATATCTTAGGACAGTCAATCTTTGACTTCTGCAAGTGTCCAAGTAAATTTGAAGGGTCCCAATATAAGTGACAAGGGCACTTGCATATCTTCAGGTATAATGAGACTTGTGCCAAGCACATTTCCCACAAATGTTTTTCAGGACATGCCAAGAGATCACAGTGAGCATACTTATGGCACTTAATGAGAGACATTGCTGGTAGTAAGGTAAATGGAGATGTGGGCCTAAACTACAACACAAACTATCTGCTCTTCTGTTTTAAAAGATATTTTTAATTATTTATTTATATATATTTATATATTTTTTTATATATGGGTAGGTGGTAATGGTGATCCAAATATTTCTTGTTCATTTTTGTTGCAAGTATTCAGGTAACAAAAAATGTATCCCTACCAGTTCTCATTTGTGTTTTTTCCTTTTGTATTTAAATGAAAATTTATGTTTAACACTGTGAGTTTTGTCAGTTTGTATGTGCACAGGTATTAATGATGTTTTTCCTCTCCATTTTCTTTACAATATATTTGTGCAGTGAAAAAATGCTTTTCTGACATGGTTTTGACCTTAAATTACTGCCACTATCCAGTTTATGTTGTATTTCATAATGAATATTAGACTAATATTATTTGCAGTTGTCCTTTTAGAAAAAGTTGTGTCCTTTAACACACATTTCATAATGTCTTTGTAGATTCTTGTCAAGACGTCACAATGGACATAGTATTGCTCAAAGTAAAGTACAATGTTGGGGAACAGTTGAGTAATAATGTGGGAATCAATCATATAATAGACAATTAAATCTTCTGATAGGTATGTGAATGATGATGGTTCCACTGATAATTGTTATCATGTTTCTTTGAAGTCATTCAGATAGGAAATGGTAGCCTTTGCCAATTCCACAAACAGTGACATTTTTCTGTTTGTATTTTAGTTAAACTTACTGTTTATCCCTATGAGTATTGCTATATTCAAGTAATTATCTTGATGATCCCAACCACAGCAGTAACCATGGAGATTTTGCAGGTGTCCCATAAAGGAATGTTCTCATATTTGACAACGGACTTGATCTTGGATTACTACAAATATTCAGGTTGAATCAGGGTTGTCATAAAGAAGAGAGTGCTGAGGTAAATTGAAGGTATCCTGGTACATCAACTACTGTTCTTGAGACATGTGGTTTTGGTTCCCATATGAGATTAAGATGAGCTTAATGATTTTTATCAGGAAACATTTCTGGTATTCAATTAAATGATTCTGTGCACCTTCACCATTTCAGGCTATGTAACATTTACATATCTAGGTAACTGATGTTGAATGGCTAGACTTGTTTTACCATTCTAGGTATTCAGGTAAGAAAGGTTAGTGTTTATCATGACTTGCAACTGTATTATTTGACTGTTTTACATTTCTGAGAACAGTTTTAGCCATGTTATTGTTGAGTAATTATGGGTAGCCATTAATAATGATGGAATTGCACAGTACAATAGTAATCATGTTTTGCAGGTCATCAGGGAAGTATGTCACAAAAGCGTAGACTCTGGAGTGCTGCAAGAATCAGGTAGGTTTGATGATGGGTCCTGCAGGATGGGTAACAAAGGCTATTTGCAGTATCCTCATCGAGAGGTATCCTTTTTCATAATATGTTTTCCAGTTCCCTGTCAAGATAATCATGGGTATTTATCATAGTGACCAATGGGAGATTTTACTTTTCTCTAGGTAATTGATGATGTGAGCTTTAGCACCCTACAGGTAACTGATCTTGAGAAGACATTTAAGTAATAGTGAGTGGTGTTCCCTGTGCTCCTCCCTCCCTCCGCTGATCTCTTTCCCCCCTCCTCCCCTGCAGTATCCTTTTGGATTCAGCTGCCTGGCAATGTCATCTTAGTCATATTTTCTTTTTTTAATTAATATTTTTTTTGTTTTTTACATCATTGTTCATTTTTAAACAATATTTGCTTCCCCCCACCCCCTCAGGTGTAGTCCCCATAGAATTTCCTTCCCCAAGGCACCCGTGCACCATCACCTCAGTCCCCTGTGCTCCTCCCTCCCTCCCTCTGATCCCTCTCCCTCCTCCTCCCCTGCAGGATGTCTCTGGTTTATAATTGTCTGATTTTGCTTTGTTGTGTTTTGTATTGTTATTTTTTTACACTGATGTCTTATTTGGTTCCCCTATATTCCTCCTATAAGTGAAACCATCCAATATTTTTTTCCTTCTGACTTATTTCACTGAGCATAATTCTTTCTAGCTCCATCCACGTTTCTTCGAATGGCATGAGTTTATCTTTTCTGATTGCTGAGTAATATTCCATGGTGTGTATGTAACACATCTTCTTGATCCAGTCATCTATTTTTGGGCATTTGGGTTGTTTCCAGGTTTTTACCTATTGTAAATAGTGCTGCATAAAATTAGGGGTACTGGTGTTCCTTTAAATAAATGTTTTTGTGCCCTTTGGGTAAATCCTGGGGAGTGGAATTGCTGGGTCATATGGTAGCTCCATTTTTAGTAGACTGAGGAACCTCCAGACAGCATTCCATAGTGATTGGCTCAGTTTGCACTCCCACCAGCAAAACTGTGGAAAACTGTTAGAAAACCTAAATAAGGGATCAGAAAAAAGACTAATTAATACAAAGTAAAAATCAAAATCAACAAGCAACTATAAACCAGAGACACACTATGGGGTTGGGGGGGAGGGACGGGGAGCGGAAGGACTAGGGTCAAAAATAAGGGGGGGGGTTGCACTTGTATGGGGAATATAACCAAAATGAAAATGCATACACACTGTGCAAAAATTAAAACATGATATAAGAATTATATAAAATAAAATATTAAAAAAAAAAAAACTGTGGGTGATAGGGCACGGGTGCATTGGTGAAGGAAACTCTATGGAGTCTACACCTGAGGGGTGAGGGGAAACAAATCTTGTTTAAAAATATGAACAATGATGTAAAAAATTAATAAAAAATAAGGGCCACACCTGTGGCACAGCAGTTGAGCGCTGGGTTGCAAAGCTGCCCGCAGCCTCTGCAGAGCGGTTCGATCCCCGGCCACTGGGTGAGGGTTCCACATGGTGTGCAGACCTCTCCTGCTGCCCACTGCGCCCCTCAGCAGTGTATTTCGTCAGTCTGTCTGTTCTGCTCCCTGCTCTGGCTCTGGTGAATTCTCTCACCCTCCTGCGCTTTTGGCTGTGACCTGTGCTTGTATAAATAAATAAATAAATCTTAAAAATAAAATAAAATAAAATAAAATGGAAAAATAAATAAATAAATAAATAAAATAGTGGGTGGTGTTTCTAAGATTCCCGTTTCCATGATTTTATGCAGGTATTCAGTTAAGAAGGCTCTCAACCAGTGCCAGAAAGCATTAGCCCATAATTTTTAAATTTTCATATAGTGCATTATATACCTTAGAGGTATGCAGGTGTGCAGTCAGGTTTGCCTAATGTTGACGTAACAAACATGTGAACCATGAGATTTCTTCAGGTATTGAGTATAATTCGTACCTAACATGGGGGTTGATATTAAGTTTTAGAAGATCCGGGTACTGTTGTGGTTCCCTTAATGCTGTAGGTAACTAAGATGCTCTGGTGGAGGCTTTGTTCATTTTTATTAATTTTTCTTTGTACAAGAAAAACAATTTGTGTCTTTCAATCCTTAAACACATATGTTATACATGTTTTTTTAATGGTTCCGGCAGGTACGGTAGCACAGTGAACCTAACAAAGGTCTTCAAAGGGAACCTGTAGTAACTAGGTATGTGATCAGGTGAGTCTTGCCAATACAGTTCTTTTGATCTTCAGATGTGTAGCTAAGTGAGGATGGTGTCTCTTCACACAGACTTGTACCCAATTATTTTTTTATTTTTGCAGGTATCCTCTTAAGTATTTTTCTAGCATATGGTAGGTGATGGTCTGATGATAACTTGCTAGAGACATTCTTAGTTTCTGTATCTATATAATTAATGTATGTGAGTCTCTCATATACTTTGTTTTTGTATAGTTAAGAAATTAATTTGTCTCTAGTAATACAAGTTACAATGTTGCATTTTATATTCTTCTTTAAATATGAATTGTATTTAACTTACAAATGAAAGACATCTGTGAGCTTCCAGGTAATTTGACATATTACCCTTTATAGTGTTATGGACAGAGGAATTGCTGCAGGTTTCCCTTTAAGAGAAGAATATCTCCCCAGGATATGACCTCACAATTGAGACCGTATCCAGGCAGTATTGGTGGGTCTGAAATGGTACATGAAGGGGTGTTTGCAGGTTATATGCATAATGAGACATGCAGAAACACATGTATGACCATCTATTTTTCAGATTCAAGGGACCACATCACTGAAAGTCACTCAGTGGAAGCGACTGGGACATTCCTAGTGTGAAGTAAATGAT